ATGTTAATTAATTCAGTGTTGTTGCTAATTATATTCAATTCACTTATATAAGCTTTACAAACGAGAACTTGGATAATTTTGTAAGAGGCTTCAATTTTAGTTTAAAATGTAATTCTTTTCTGCCAGTTAAAATAATTTAAAGATATGCACAGTATGTCTGTGTTCTTTAAGGCAGGTGCCAAGTACATTTTGAAAGGTAATAAACTTAGGGACCGGCCCGGTGGTGCACTGCTACAGTGCGCCGCTTGGGAGCGCGGCGGCACTCCCGCTGAGGGTTCGGATCCCACATACAGACCGGTTCCCGCTCACTGGCTGAGTGAGGTGCGGAGCAACACCGAGGGTTGCGATCCCGTTGCCGGTCCTGGTCCGACACTGAGGGTTGCGATCCATTGCCGGACACGAAAAAAGACAAAAAGAAAAAAAAAAAAAAAAGAAAAAAGAAAGGTAATAAACTTACCAAGTAGAATGTTCTCCCAAAGGAAAAAAAGAAAAAAAAAAAAAAAGAAAAGCTTATGACAGTTTTTCTTTAAGACAGATGTTTAAATAGCACGCTTCTTTTAGATCATTTAACAATAATTTGGCAGCAGAACAGCCTATGGTCATAACACATAATCGCTTACAAAAGACAAGCAACAGATACATAATTAACAATATACTTTTAATATTTTTAAAAGTATCTTTAAGTTGGTGCCTAGTGGCATTTAACAAGATTTTTGTATTCAGTGTGAAAAGATTTAGAACATAAACTGACACTAATAATGAATATAATTTCTCTGTGCCATGCAGAAGTCAACTTTTTACATATCATCACTCCTAAATAGTTCTAATTAAAATCCAAACTGTTTCCATTTTTGCATCATTGTCATTCTTTGGCAAAGGATTCAAAATAGCCATGGGGTAATATACAACTGTTCACTTATGGTCTTCATTTTTGCAAAATAAGTATGTTTTGTAAAAGGAATCTGCACTGTGCCTTGTTTATACTAAATAATTATAAATAAGCAAAAATATTATGACTTTTTTGACTAATCTACTCCTAAAGCTTTGAGTTGCCGTTCGATCTCTTCATCGGAGATCGTAGCCTTAGAAGTAGAGGCAGACGGTAAACTTCGAGCAGCTGATGGAGCTTTGGCCATCTATATTAAAGAAAGGAAAAGAGGAAAACAACATGCATTAGCAAACATTTGCACTAGGACATAAGGATGTGCTGCAAAGAGATTTACTTTTGAAACAAATATAAAAACATGCACCTAATAGTAAAGGACAACTTAAAACAATTAAGTGACAAAAGTGGTAGGAACTATTTCTGAGAGAAGATGTTCATACCTTTCCAGAGATTTCAATTCCAATTTCATCAAGAACTTGATTCACAATATCCTGGCTTTCTTCTTCATCATCAGAGCCCTCAAAGATGTCATCAATTGTGTCATTGACTGGGGAGGGGTAGAGGAGGAAACAAAGAAGTTACTTTCAAACAAGTTTCAGGTTAGATTTACCTTTTTAGAAGATAGTCCAACTATTTTGTATATTGCAGAAGGCAAATTTAGGTGAACCAACAAAACAGAAAAATCACTTTCTAATGTCATTGTGTCAGTGAAGTAGATTGATAAGTACATTTTTGAGCCACTAAACCTGAAATAATGTTCATTTCAATATAAATTATCCTATAGTAAAACAAGTCTACTCTGATTTAAAAAAAATATATATATATATAACCTGAAATAATGTTCATTTCAATATAAATTATCCTATAGTAAAACAAGTCTACTCTGATTTTAAAAAAATATATATATATCTAATAGATATAAGAAACTGCTAGTAAATAAATATGATTAATTCAAAGATGAGAAAACTAAA